TTAGACTTAACTATTTACCCAATGCGAAGCGGAACATAAGGAGCTAAACGATTCTACTGTACGGCGTCAGCAGAATAATGCAATATACCAAGCATTCGTGGTGTGGGAGCGTATAACAACAATATAATCTTATGTGGACAAAAAAATGAGTGAGGAGGCATAAAAGTACAAACATCGGATTGTAATTAATCACAAATCAATCAATCTTCAATTCGCTTCAAGCTGACCAGGTTGCACCAATTGGTCTTCTCAATTTCTCTCTTAAGACCTATTCTCTACGCGGCATTTTTCTCAACTCTGAGTTTCTAGCGCATTTCCTCTGGCGCATTTTTTTAAGCTCGCGGATAAAATAATAAACAATTGAATACCGAATAATATCAAATTTATACATCGATGTCGTTTCCTGGTTCATCTCGACTGTCGTGGGCCATACCAAAAAGTGTCCAATTTGTCCAAAATTGTTGGTATTGATAAAGTTGACGAAAGTGGCCGAATATATAGAGGTAATATGAGATCCCTGATGTCGCGGTGCGACTCGAATAAGGAACCCTTGCGACACACAAAGTTCGCGGAGGCTCGAAAGACTGAATAGATTTTAATTTAGGAGCAAGTCTAACGAGCTCCTACAAGGGGGAACCTCCATGTGACGCCTTAAAAATGGTGGCCCCTTCCACCATAAGGGTCAGCTAAAAATAACACTATACGCATAGGTCTTTATTGTGTATAGCGTGAGCGGCCGGATGGTAGGCCGTCTCTGCAACAGAATGACAAAATATTCCACAGAGAGCGAGAGAGGAGAGGCCACATGACCCATCAATCATGTGGCATCCTCTGGCGCTTCACATCCCCCTTCTCCCGCAAGCCAGTGTCCTCACGGCTTGGATAGAAAAACCGTAGGTACTTCTTGCAGAAGAAGGCTCATACAATACAATCCTATAAAGAAACGATATTAAGATGGTGGTCATATTGTTACGATGTGTTACTTCCTATGCGCAGATTCTGTTGCCTATTTTGAATTCTAGCGGGCTCTCGTCAGATTGTTATTAAGCTTTCCTTACGCTCTAGTTGTGATGAAGCGTGAGTTTAGACTTAACTATTTCCCACAACCCCCACATTATTCCCACAATTTCCAATATTTCAAGTATCCAATTGTTGGAAATTGTGGGAATAGATTCACGCTTACGAAGTCTATCTGAACCCCGAATCTGAACCTGCTCTTCCGTGAATAGTTCATTACTTGTAAAAATTTTCTTTCATAAGGATAGTCTACAGTTTTTGAAAAATCAAAGTTAGCCAATCACTGTTAGAAACTGTAAATTTTGACTTTCGAGCAGAACAGAAAATTTGATGAAAAAAGATTTACGTTTTAGCATCATTTTCTGAAACAATGGGCACTTAGGATCATTTTCTGGAATTTTAAAAACTTTCGAATTCGGACCCCTTAAGACCCCCTCCCCCATATAACACTGGCAATTTCTAGGAAAATTTACGGTATTGGCCGAAAGAACATAATTAAGAAATTCGTTATTCATATTTCGAATTATCGTTGAAAACATTTAATAGCCGAAATTTTGATTTTCGGCAATTTGCCTTTCCGGCTTTTTTTTCCGAATGCCGCACAGCCCTGGTGTATATGGCTCTTTCAAGAAAAAAAATGTCGTTCCGGTGACAGTAGATTGTTGATAATGTTTATTTGCATTGCTTGAAAAAAAAGAGTTTGGCCCCATTTGTCACTTTCAGTTCTGAAATCAAAGTCCCATTTGGCAAAAAGGGTCCTTTTTTTAATAGAGGTTGGTCCCATTTGTCATTTTGGCCCCATTTGTCATTTGGCCCCCTATTGGTCCCATTTGGCTGGTCCCATTTGGCATTGGCCGATATTTTTAGTAGTCTCCGTTAGTTTAATGAAAACAATTTTTTATGCTTACAGAAGTTAAAAGAACTTTTTTCCTTTCAGTAATAATCTTTCTCCCATTCAGTAATATTTCTCATTTTCTCAAAAAAATTCAGAAAATCATTAGTCAAAAATTGTTAGTCAAAAAAAAGTCAAAAATCACTAGTCAAAAATCATGAGTCAATGAATAAAAAATCATGATACAATTTTTATGAGTCAAAAATCATGAGTCAAGTCAAAAAGTATGAGTCAATGAACATTGGCTGGACCGAACTCGTTCGAGAAGAAGGGCGAACGCGCCCGGGTTGAGGGACGAACTCGCCCGGTGTGCGGGGCGAGTTCGCAGCGAGCCGCAGAAACGATGGTGAAAAGCGGATTTAGGTTAACCGCCGGCGAAAATTATTGAGAGAGTGTGTTGAGACTTACAGTGCTGGCCATAAAGAAATCAAAAAATGGTTCTTTGAGCATAACTTTTCTGAAAGTAGTCCAATCACTCTGAAATTTTTAGACAACAAATAAAACAATAAAAGTGATAAATTCTACACATAAGTTGTTAATTTTTTCAAAAAATTAAAAAGAAAAGATCAATTTATTAAAAATAAACAGAAACCGGTAAATATTGACCCGTTTTAAACAAGATCTAAAGTGGTCTTAAAGTTGCAAACAGGTAATGAAATGATGTACGCCGGCTTAATACTTCGTGGCAAAGCCTTTAGCATCGATGACAGCCTGACATCTTCTCGGCATCGACTCAAGAAGTGTGGTAATGACGGACTGTGGGATGGCTTTCCACGCAGCTTCGAGTTGAGCGAATTTTTGATCCGCATTGTGGGCTCTGACCCCATTAAGACGTCTCTGGAGCTTCTCCACATGTGCTCAATCGGATTTAGGTCCGGGGATTGGCTTGGCCACTCAAGAACATCCACACGGCGCCGTTGAACCCAATTGCGCACATGAAGTGAAGTATGTTTTGGATCGTTATCCTGCTGGAAAACATATGCACGACCCACGAACCGAAGCGCCCATAGTCGCATTGTATTTTCTAGCACGTCCTCATATTGGAAACGATCCATCGTTCCATTGATTCGTCTCATTGGCCCCATACCACTCGCGGAGAAACATTCCCATACCATTACTGAACCACCCCCATGTTTGACCGTTGGAAGTTGGTACTTCGGCTGATACCTGGTGCCAATAGGGCGGCGAATCCATGTAAGACCATCATTACCAAACAAATTAAGTTTAGATTCGTCGCTCCAAATGTGCTTTGCCCATTCTTGTGGTCCCCAGTGAAGATGAGCCTTACACCACTCAACTCGATGTTTTCGATTTTTAAGACTAATGAATGGTTTCTTCACTGGCCTTCGCCCATGGAGCCCCATCTTTTGCAAACGTCTACGAATGGTTCTCTTAGATGGTGCGGGATGGTTCTCTTAGATGGTGCTGATCGTTTGGAGAGTTCACAATCATCTGGATCATCGTTGCGTTTCTCTTAGGATCTTCTACAGCGGCCCTACCAATGTTGCGATCCATGGTTCGAGTTGTTTCACGCGGTCTTCCAGGAGACTTTCGAAAAATAAATTTGTTCTAGACATTTAAAATTGTTCAAATATGTTTTAAAAATGTTACCTGTTCATCAAACCGTTTTAGGATTCGCGAAATAGTTGAAATGGATAGGGCGAATTGTTGAGCAAGCATTTTCGCGGATGTCCCTTGTTTGAAGCCGTTGACGATGGCCTTCTGAATCTCTACAGATGTTGTTTTTGCTCCTTGACGTCTACCCATATCTGAAAACATATCCCCAACTTGAAATATTAAATATACAGCACAATAAAAAACTATGGCTGGTGATTTGAAAAGTGTGAAAAAATCAAAAAATCAAAAAATTAAAAAAAAATCACAAAAAAATTTTTTTCCAGCATGATGCAATTTGTTGTCTTCATTTGTGCGTAATGATGCTGCGTACACACTTCAAAAATTTCAGAGTGATTGGACTACTTTTAGAAAAGTTATGCTCAAAAAACCACTTTTTGATTTCTTTATGGCACTGTAAATATTTCTTTTAACAGGCGATTCACAGAAAATCGTTTTTCTCCGCCGTTCTCGGCAAAACTTCGCAACTTCTGCGCAAAAGTTGCACAACTTTTGCGCAGATTTTAAACAACTTTTAGATAAACCGAGTTTAAAAGTTGCGCAGAGTCGGTTTAAAAATTGCGCAAAAATCTTTCAAAAGTTGCCAGTTGTTACTCATTGATCTATAGAAATATACATTTCACACTACTGAAAAACTATTTTTGATTAAACAACATGTTTTATTCAAACAAAAAAGAAAACAATGAATTAAACACAAGAAAAAACAAACGAAACAAGATATAACAAACAAAAAAGACACATATTCTCAGGCAAATCAAATAAAATATTTTGAGAAATTCTAAAGTTTCTTGATATTTTCGAAAATTAATCGAGACTCGATAAACTTAAAATTATTTTTTTTTAATCTTATAAGATTTTCTAAAATTAAATGAGCAAATTCTAAATTATCTCAATAAATTCTAAAATCTTATAATAAGTTCTAAAATTGATTGAGAAAAATCTAAAATTTTATAGAGACACGTTAGTTTTGCTCAATGAATCTCAAAATATTGTATTCGATTTACCTGAGCATTAGGTCTTCTGCGTTTGGAATCGACCCAGTCGAAATTTCGCGATGTCTTTTCAGTTGGCTCCACTTTAAATGCGTTGAGCATTCCTTCCGCTCCTGTAATTAATAGAAATAAAATATCAGAAAATATTACCTGACACGGAATTAGTTGTTTCTTTTCCAAATCGAAGTGGTATGTGCGGAGAGTGTTGCTTAAAATTAAATATAAGTCGAGGAGTAAAAAATAGTGTTTTTAAGAAAACAAAGTGGTGTGTTCTTTCAAGAACAAACCAACTCAAAGTAAAAATTGAATAGTAGCAAAACATACAGCGCATTTGCAATTGAGACATGCACTGCATTCATTCCAATTGAGCGCATTGATCGTCGTTTAATAATTTCCTCTTCTCCAATCCCAAGCATACTTAGTGTACTGTAAAATATAAATAAGGTTAGAAATTGTTGCGCAAATTACTTGTCTGTGGGAATATCGCCAATGAGGAGATCTTCCGGCAGATACAATCCCAAAGCATCCAAACCGAAATCTGAAATTTAATGATTTGCAAGACATATGGAAAAAAACTGAAATCAGGCGTACCGCATAAAACCTCAGCCACTTTATCTGGAATTGGAATGAAGTGCTTGTCAAACTTGCGATTTGTGTTTGGGCGAAGCGAGTAAATCCAGATAGCGTATGGTTGCAGAATCGCCTGAATATATATATATATATATATATATATATATATTTTAGGTATGTTACAAATATTTTAACTTACATTTTTTAAAGCATTAGTATATATTCGATTATCGCACTCACCCCAGTTCTTTACTTTTCTTATGACTTCTGATATCTAAATATTTATTACCGAAAGGAAGAGGATGAAATACATATACTCACAGAAATTGAAGAGAAAATATTCAACACTTTAGCTATTCCAAATATGTCTTGACCCAATGTTCCTGATACGTTGTTAAATGCAAAAATAGCAGCAATATAATTAACTCCATCTTCTCTGGCTAAAAAAAGAATTTTAAGTAGTTCGAATATTAGCAAAAGTGCCAAATGGCAAATTATGAGCCGAATTGGTTTTGTGAGTCCAATTGGCAACCCGCACAATTCAAATTTATCAAATTTGTCCGCCCCGACAATATTAAATCTTACAAAATTCATCTCCTTTCAATTCGTTGTTAGCATTCTGTTGATTTCCTTGATTATTTGTTTCTGAACATAATTTTTTACAACATTTTTTTCGTTTTGAGGACGCTAAAATAATTTCTGAAAATTTTTAATTCTCTAGAAAATAGGAAATAGATCCAGAAAAGAGAAAATACGTAGAACGAGATAGCGCTTTTTTTTCAATTTTGACTGCCGAAAATATTTTAATATTTTTGAAAAATAAAAAAATTGTGGTCAAAAATTCCATACACAGGTTTCCAATACATTAAGAATGCTATATTTTCATAAATTCTAACCTTCATTCATATCATATCCTTCCTCTTGATATTCCGACAGATCTTCGACAACGGCCTCTTCTGTCATTGACGAATCATTCATCAATTGTTCCTTTTTTTTCGCCTAAACTAAACATTAAAATTTTTTTATTCTTCTCAAACCTGATGATTCCATGTCGTTTAACTCACACATCTTTGAACTGGTATCTCTTTTCTGAGACTTTTTTTCGAAATTACCACGAAAATTAGTCAACACGGCGTCTGAATTGATATTAATATGCATATATCTATATATTTTTCAACACAATTGGTTACCTATGTGCTGCCCGCTTCTTTTTCGAAGCTTCACTCGCTCATTTCCAAACATGGACGCTAAAATGAAATACTAATTTTTCAAGAAAAATTAAATAAACAGAATTTCTTTGATCCTATTTATTGAAATCTATGAATTTCAAAACGTGGTGTAATCACGGCCGCATGAACTCTGCGGACTTGCATTTTAATCTACGCCTATATATTTCAAAGTCTGCGCAGAAGTTGCGAGGTTTTGCCGAGATTCTACGATACGAATTGCATGGAGGTTTTTTACTTAGTGTTTTGGATTTTTTTTCTAATTTTGCACACAAACAGATCGGGAAAATACCTATCGAGTGTGCTATGTCGTTTTCTGCAAAATTTCCAAAAAGTCCAAAAACTTTGTGTCCGATGTTTCAAATTTTGAACCATGATTTTTTATTTGTTTTATTACATTTGCCATGCTGCAACCATCTTGGAGCTTCGGAGAGCATAATGGGCGGAAAACAATAGACAACACCTGTGCGATTAAAAATAATAGGGAAATGTGAGTTTTATGAATAACTTGCTAGATTAATGGATTCTCGGCTGCGAATCTTGAACGACGATTGTTACTACACCGATGATGGTGGTTGCAATATGGTTGGGCAGCGAGTGGAAAAAAATTTGAAAATAATTTTTGAAATCAAAGGAACTTCTCATTTTTACAGTCTTATTTATCAAGAATTCTTGAAAACCCGTACCCTTACCATTGAACCACAACTGCTTGACGCACTTTCATTGAAACACGGTATTTGTGCGTGGTGTTGAAGTATGGAACTTTTGCAGAAAACGACATAGCACACTCGATAGGGAATTTCCGATGTTTGAGTGCAAAATTAGAAAAAATTCCAAACCACTAAGTAAAAACACCTCCCTTGTGAGTGAGTGTATAAAACGTTTAAGTTTGCTCGGTTTTCCGTTGGATTTATCATCGATATTTCAGTGTATCAACGCCCAAAAACCGCTATTTTAAATATTGCTTCACCGTTTTTGTTGCAGGCTCATTCACAAATCGTTGATTCGCAATTGACCGATCAAAGCGCGATGGGCGTGGCGTCGAGATTTTTTTTCGACAGGTGCGCTGTTCGCTTTTGACGACAACACTCAGTTTTTTCTTTTTATTTATTTCTTTTTGAATTAGTTAATATATATCTTATTACATTTTGTCTCGTCACTCTTCGTTTTTTGAGTCTTTTTTCGGTATAATTAAGCCCTTTCCTTGCCTTTCTCATTTGTTCTTATTTCAGAATATCTAAGCTACGCTATACTTCACACATTTTCCGAAAATAATATGATATTTTTTTCAGAAAATAACCTATAAGAATGCCAAAACAGGATTTCACATATACAGATTTGGCAGGAGTTGTGGTTGTCTGGTGTTTGTTTTTTGCCATAATTGGTATTATTACCGTCACGTGTATTAATTTCTTCTGTATTCAAGAAATTGATGACGTCACTGTTCTTGAAAAGGTACCATACGGAAATACCAGCTTCCTCTGTATATATTACGATTTTCAGTGGGGATATCGTCGTCACCTCGGAATTCGTCTTGGAGTTCACAAACGCGCAACCATTGCGCAAACAATCGACCACGAAAAATTCAAATCCGACAAGTAAATTCATAAATAATTCAGAATTAAATTTGGTTTTCACTTCACTTTAAAAAATTATTTTTCGTTATGTTCAACTTCAAAATTACTAGACATTCACTGTGCAATATGTATATATATATACACCTTGTATTATTTTCAAATTAGTATTTTGACATTCCAAATATTAATTCAAAATATAATAAAGAAATCTTAAATCTAGAACATGTTATCAATAAGAGCATTGAGTCGGCCAAAATGACCGGTCAACACTTGGCTCGGCTGAGCGCTTTTACACAAAGCGTCTCTTCGTGGGTCACTCTGTGTACTTTGACACCAGCTACCAAAATTTCGATTGAATAGAATGATGATAATCGTAATCCATAAATTAAAAAAAAAATTCAACACTAAAAATATGATTTATACAAAAAATTGTAAATTTAAAATAAATCAACACAAATTATTGATTTACGCTCATCGGTCAATACAGTGTTTTTGAATGGAAATTTTACCCTGGTCAACCTGGAAAAAAGAAAAAGAACGTAGTCGACGATTTCGGATGGAGGTGAACTCACGGTAACCTTGAACAATTTTCAATTACAAAAAATACTTATGTAACTCATCCCATCATATAAATGGTCTGCAAAAATTTCTCGAAAGTCGATATGAGTTCGAAAAATGTTGAGAAATGCGAACTTGTGAACAGGGATATAAGACGGGCCCAGCCTGACACTGGGAGTTTTTTCGAGTTTTTTCTGCAAAATACCATTATAAATAATTTGTTTGAAGTTTTACTCAGAATACAGGATTTTTCAGGTTTTTTTTTCTTCATAAATTAATGATTAAAAATATTAGAAAAAACCGAAAATCAAGGTAACACAAATTGATAATATAATAATTCAAAATAAATCCGAGTGAAGTTTGCACATATAAATGAGTAATGTTAAAAAATTTATATACATATAAACTGGAATAAACGAGAACCGTTTCATTTGTTATTGAATAAGAATCTGAATTTAAACGAACATTCAGAGAAAAAATGTTTAATCGTTCGAATAAAAAGGAGATTATAATATTTCATATTTTGGATAATCCTCATTGCTCTCTGAGGATAATAGAACTAAACGAATTTTAAGCCCGAATTCTCATGATCATAAATGATTAATGACAATATTTTTGTTTTTTATCGACATTACAGCCACAATAAACAGGCTTAGGTGGCATTCATTCGAACCAAAATATAAGCGGTTTTTTTGGGAAATGTTGTTTCTACGCCTGCTCATTAGCTTCCTATTCATTTCTTGCTATTCTGTTGGTTGTTTAAAGAAAAGCAGGATTCAATATTTGATGCGACTTCAAAGTTCGCTCTAACTAGATTGATTTTAAAATAAACATATTTTCAATGAGTTTTTTCTTCTAATGCGTGAGATTGATATTTGATATAGTGAAGTAAGATTTGCAGTAATGTGTTTTCCTTTATGGTTCTGAACTGATGTATATTCGGATGCAAATAGAGGTCCAGACGATGATTAGACTACATATAATACACATCAACAGTCAGACGTTGACTATACATGTACATTCTAAATCTGTCATAAATTATGTCTATTGTAAAGAATTAATCATTTTTAAGTACTTATTAAGTCAAAGTTTTCAAAATATGTATGAAATTACCAATATTATGGCTAGTTTTATTTCAATAAAGCGGAAAATAGTTCAAGCCTCTCTTTTATGAAAAAAAATTGTAAAATGCACCCATTTTTGTTTTAAGATAGCCTATTCCTCAATATTTTTGCAATTGCCTGACGTTTTCAATTTAATTTTTAATGTATTTTCCTCAAAGTCGCCTATCTTCTTCTTTTCATTCCTCATTATGATACTAATATAATATAATATAATAACTATTACTATAATTACTGAACGTGAACGAATAATTGAGCTGCACTCTTAATTCTTCGTTCTTCAGCCATTTTTCAAGGATGACGGAGAAAAATGGGCAAATTCCGTTCGGCGCTCGTTTTGTTTTGGTTTAGCTTTTCCGTCAGTTTATTTTATTTTCGTTACGACAGGTATGTGCTGGAGTTCATTTTTATTTTCAGATGGGCGATAATGACGAAAAATTCAATGCGAATTGGCATCCGTTCAAAAAATCGCCAAGTGTCCGAGAAGTGCCAAAAGATAGAAAAATAGTCAAGATTTCTCGTCGCAATCAAAGCCAGTTTGTACTAGGTGAATCTTTTTAAAAATTCAAAACTAATGATTCTTCAAAAATTGCGACCGAGTGTTTGTGAGTAGTTTTTTCAGCAGAAGTTTTTGTTTGTTTCCTTATTCAGTGTCTCCATGCACTTCTTCATCTTGGCATTCGATCGATGAATAACTAAGTGAAAAACGAGCAACTTTTGGCACCTTTCTTGCTGGCCAATGGCTTGCACCTTCAACAAAATTTTTTCTTTTCATTTGTTGAAAGCAAACGTATTTTAACGTGCTTCGCTGGAAATGTTGTTTTCTTTTAATATCTCAATAGAGACTATTGAAATGTTTTCAACTAACGTTTCACGTCAAAAATTATAATTATTGATTTATTGAAAATAATGTAGCAAAATTCCAACTTTTAATTAATAAATTAAAGAGTAAGAAAATGAGATTGTCAAATATTTTTAAAAATGTTATTGCTCGGAATATTGAGCTTCTTCGTATTTTCCCACGCGTCTTCCCTCTATTATTAATAAATCTTTGAAGGTTCTGGCACGAGAAATTTTCAACGTTTTAATTATATTAACGAGTTGGTTCTCATAGAGCTCATTTGAAACGATAAAATTGAAGGAGAAAAGAAATCTAATTATTGGAACCCCGTTTCATCATGCTGTTGTTCTCTTTGTTCTTTTTTTTATTTATTTTTCCTATCCGCTTTTTTCCCTTTTTCGCGTTCTTCATCGCAATCCAGGTCGTGTCAAGATTTTAATTCATACGTCATTCTTTTTATAATGAGATGGCACTGCAATTGAAAATAATTGAAACCAACAATTCAGAAAATATTCAATGGTTGAGGCAAATTAGGTGAAATCAATATATAACATTATAGATGATATGAAATGTGTGTTGGAAACTTTTTTTCAGCGATTTAATCGAATTTCCGAAATCGGCATATTCATATAGGATGTGCAAATTATTGATTAATATAATTCTGATGTCGCGTTACTGCGGAAAATTGTCTAAATACCAAAAAACAATGTCAGTGGTATTGGCGCAAAACAAAAGTGTAGATTTACAATTCAAATTTGAACAGTGACCGTTTTGATTTTTTACTCTTGATAACCTGCGAAGTTAATTAGCGCATGGTGCTCGATTTTTTTTCGCATGTAATAATATATTATCCTTTTTGAAACACCGTCGTCTTTCTTCATTTGAGTTTAATAAGAAAATTCTTCAAAAATTGATGGCGTCATAAACAAATCGAAACAATGACTTCGCTGACAACAGTATATGAAATTTCCATGAATATGTTATCTGTTTTTAATAGTTAAGAACCAACGCATGTGTGCTTGCGTATGTGGTATGTGTATGCGAATGGCTACTATGCAAGTATAATAAATAGGCATCTATTGTTTGAAAGACGTCGATAAAAAGCCAATGAAGTGAAACATACAATTTTTCCGGAAATTCATTCCGGTTTTCTGCACAATTCGTCAGTTATTCGATAAAACTTTTCATTCCTTCGCGTAATTTTTGTCTATTGACTACTAGTTTCTTCCTCTCATTTTTATTCATAGATAAACGCTCTCCTCCATTGTTGCACGACATAATGAAAACAATCAATCGGTAAAATTAGCAAAAGCAAATTTAGAGAAAAGTTCCCCTGAGTTGAGTTTTTTTGGTATATAAATTTAAAAAATTAATTAATGCTCAAGCTTAATCGCTCAAGGATGGGTTCCACCCTATGTCTCCAAGGTTTTAAAACGTTAAGTAGAAATTGAGGCATTCGTTGCATATCAACACAGCCTAATATAGATCATCCAGTTCCCGATGTCTTCGTTTTCTATTTATTCAAAGCTGTGGGCACAGAGAAATCTGCTGCATTCATTAATCGGCTTACATGCAATTTATTCACACGAAGAGATACATACACATATCTGTTGGATTAATAATAGTCTTAAAATGAACGAGATGAAGCCAGAAAATGGGCGGCTCTAGTGTCTCTTTTGCGCGGCTCAGCTTGAACTTGGTGCTTTTCCTTTTTTTCGCTCACATTCCCCATTGCGACTCTCGCCATACTTGCATAGAGAAAAGCAACATAAGAATTCCGTTCAATTATGACGAAGATGGTTTCGAAATGACCAAGTCAACTAAAATTCGAAGCCAAAAGAAACGCAAGAAGAAGGTCGAGGCTATAGTCGAGCTGCCCGCCAGTCCACCGCCGCCGCCAACACTTGTTGTCACTGAGCCACTGATTGTTCGCGAGACACCAAAACGTAAAGTGTTTTGTTGCTGCTCGGCTCCAATCGTGCTGTCACCAGCGGAGGCCAATTATGGTAAAGAAATGATTTATTTCAAATAATTTCTCTTGTTATGTCTACATCATATCATTATGATTGAGGCATTCTTTGTCAAATCCTAAGACGGCTGTTTTTGCGTTTCGGTTTACATATCATCTTCTTTTTAGCTAACCTTTTCACCTTAACAATCTCCAGCCTAACTAACATTATTAATCGATATACATATTTGCGTTCGTTGAATACGCTCAAAAACGAAAAATCTCATAAACTATAACATGAACTGACAGGATGTTCAATTTTTTGAAGTCTTGAAGTCTCACGCAAATTGAATTTCTGAAACATCTCTCCGAAGATTCTTTTTAGAAGAATTATCTCAAAGCAAATATTTAATCATATAAGACTAACTTTAGCAATTTTCAATCAATTTTCGAATCATTTTCGTTTTTCTCCATAATATAATTAATCATTTGAATTCAAGAAGAAAAACCAGAAAAATATAAATTTTCGCGCCATTTTTCGAGCATTTATACATATA